ATAAAAGGTAAGTTTTCTATAAATCTTGACGTTCCAACGTAAACATAAAGGCGTCAAAAACCTGGTATTATCGACAAAACTTTTATTATACGGAGTTTAGTGGCACCATCTATCCGAGGTCCACAAAACTGTCAGCGCCGTCTGCTACCGCGAACAGCCGCCAGAAGCCGGAGGGGGACGGGGATGGCCGGACCCGGATGAGACTTTCCTCCTTTCACGATATGGTTCGAGCTGCACCAGCACGTGGTCGCGAGCGGGTGAGTTTTCACTGCCCACTGATGGCTCTAGAGAGTTTCACCGGAACACCGTGCGACCCCCATTGACGTTGCAGCGCACGTGACTAGGAAGATGAAGGGTTGCGAGGGGCCGAAAACTTTAATCTTTGTCCCTTTAAAAAAAAAAAAATAAAAAAAAATAAAGCTAAAACATGCAGGCAAAAGCGTTTCTTTTTTTTTTTTGCTCTTTACTTCAGAAAGGTCTAGACACCAACTCCCTAATTAAGCAAAGCACTAAAATTGTTGCACAGCTCCTTTAAGAATGCCGTCCGATGCCCCCTGGTGTCTGCTCCAAGGCACAGAAAGGGGTGTGTAACAGTCTTTTATTCTATTTTTAATAGGGAAATAGGCTGCCCACAAGTGTAATTTCGGGTTTTTAGATTGCTTCGAACCTGTAGATTGAGTTATCACCATATAGACAATCTCAGATTTTACTTGAGTGCCCCTTTAACAAACACGCACTATCACCTATACCCCATTCACCGTTAAGCTGAGACTATGGTGGGAGCTAAGTGCCCGCCGGACCAATCAGCCACCTCCCTCACATCACCTGACCTGGCTCTCTGTGCATGGATATCGTCAGGAGCATGATGACAAGGCAAAAGAGAAGCTTATGATTGGACTGACGACGACATAGCTTCCACTGGAGTCTCAGCTTAGGGGTGAATGGAGTATAGAAAAGTTGTCTCCAGAAACTCAACGACACAAAAACGTCACACAAAGACCAACAAAAGCACTGTAAAGTTGGGGCACTGTAACATCACATGGTTCCTACCCCGACGGGTGGCTACATAAGCCGACCGGGATGGATGGCCAGTTGGGGCACGGCGTCGCCAGACAAACAGCGATGCAAAACCTCTCCCTTCTTCAGGTTGGTTACCTTCCGAATGCAGTTTGTTCTCGAAGTAGAAATCCGAATTTTATTGCGATGTCGTGCCCCAACGACCTTTTCTGGCGAAAGTGGCTGTGTTTTTACTGTTTGCAGTACTCGTACATTTTTTATGTTTCTCGGCTCCTTTTGTTAATGTCCGGAGACGTGGAGGCAAACCCAGGACCACTAACCGATAGTGAGCAAATCACAAGTATTCTTGCAGCTGTCCAGAGAATCGAGGCTGCTCAGACAAATTTGCTGGCAACAGTCTCGTCATTGGAGAGCGGACAAAAGGCTACCGAGATATCTGTCCAACAATTGTTTTCAAGGATGAGTGCTGTTGAAGCGAGGTTGGCTGATAGGAACTCTGCATCTCTAACCCCCCATGATGAAAATCTTCCTGTTGACCTAGCGAATATTCAGAAGCAGTGCGATGACAACGAAAATAGGCTTCGGAGGTCAAATCTGTTGTTCTTTGGCTGCCCAGATAACAGCACCGAAACATGGGGGCAGTCGGAACAAAAAATTATCGAGTTTTGTTCGAGCAAGCTGGGAATCCAGCTGGATCCCGCAAATTTAGAAAGATCACACCGCCTAGGGAAATTCGAGCCCCAGAAAGCTAGGCCAATAATAGTCAAGTTTGCCCGATTTAAAGACAAAGAGAGCATCCTGGCCTGTGGGTTCAAACTGAAAGGCACCCATTACGCTGTACGCGAAGATTTTTCTGCGTCTGTGCGAGTTGCCCGTGCCAAACTTTTTGAGTATGGTAGGAGTATGAACGTACCGTTTAAAGTGCGTTTTAACAAACTGCATGCGGACAACAAGCGTTTTGTTTTTAACTCGGAATCTCAAACAGTTGTTGAATTTTCATAGCTACATGCTTCTGGCAAAAACAAAGCGTTACCGCCATCCCCTTATGCCGCCTTGCGCGATAAAAGCAAAAGCCTTTCTGTTCTTTTCACTAATATTCGCAGCTTCATGCCAAAACGCGACGAGTTTCACAGTGTATTGGAGGACAGCTCATCAGATTTAGTCATTTTGACAGAAACTTGGTTAAACCCTGAAATCGAAGATAAGGAGCTTTTTCCGCGAAACTTAGATTACAAAGTCTTCCGCCACGACCGGCATGGCCAGAGGGGCGGCGGTGTGCTTATCGCAATAAAGAGTTTTATATCTTCTTTTGATATCTGTTTAGCGAACCATGACTTGGAATTTACTTGCATATGTGTTTGTACGCCATCAAATAAGGTCATTGTGGGCGTATGTTATAGGCCACCAAATTGTGCTTCATCATTTCATACTGATCTATGCTCTGTCTTACTTGACATACGAGATCGATTTCCAAAGGCTGATATGTTGTTATTTGGCGATTTTAATTTTCCACAAATCGATTGGTCAAACCTTTCATCCGTAGGTTCGGCCACATCCGCACACTTTCTAGACATGTGTCTTACTCTGAACCTTACACAGCTTGTTGATAAACCAACTCGTTTGGGAAATATTCTCGATTTAATACTAACTACGTCACCGGATCTTGTCAAGTGTATCCAGTACTGTGACGGGCTCAGTGATCACAGGCTGCTGCATGTTGATTTGTCACTCCCCACTCTCACCAAGCATCCCATTTCCAAAACTATTCACAATTATAACAAAGCTGATTATATCTTGATAAACCGCGAGTTGGCAAACTTCTTTGACAATTACGTCGTTCATTTTCATCTTAGATCTGTAGAAGAAAACTGGACATTATTTAAAACTAAAATGAATCATCTAGTAAAAATGTTTGTTCCTACAGTTCGTGTACGCACCGATTTAGGTAATCCATGGTTTACAAAAACCTTGCTTTCTTTGCGAAACAAGAAAAAAAGACTTTTTGCAAAGGCCAAACGGTTAGATACCAGCCAGTCTTGGGATATCTACAATTCTGCATTAAAAAACTACACCAGGAGCATAAAACAAGCCAAGAATAAATTCTTTTTTAATGACTTACTGTCCATTTTGAGGAGTAACCCGAGAAAGTTTTGGAATCTGGTTTCACCGAAGAACAACAACTCTGCCATCCAACTACGTACCGACAACGGCGATCCCATTCCAGAGAGAGACATTGCTACAGTGTTTAACGAATATTTTTCTTCCATTTTTACTAACGAGTGTTTGAACACTGTTCCCAGCCTCCCCGAGCAACCTTACGAAACCATGCCTCCAATCAGTGTAAGCGCAGCCGGTATTCAAGACCTCATTGCCAAATTAAAACTCTCATCGTCCGCCGGTTCCGACAACATCAATTCCAAAATTCTAAAAAATACTACCAGTATCTCAAGTGAGTTCTTAAAATTAATATTTGACCAGTCACTATCTGAAAGCTCCCTCCCTTCTGACTGGAAGGTTGGCAGGATCGTCCCAGTTTTCAAACTGGGAAGTCGCTGTTTGGTTTCAAACTATCGTCCTATATCTTTAACTTCAATCGCATCTAAACTTCTTGAGCATATACTATATTCGCAAATTATGAGTCACCTAACAACTAATAAATTTTTTTTCAAAAAGCAGCATGGATTTAGAAAGGGATTCTCCTGTGAGACGCAGCTTTGCGACTTCATCCATGACCTACATACTAATCTCGAGTGTCGGGCTCAGACTGACGCCATCTTTCTGGATTTTTCGAAAGCTTTTGATCATGTTCCCCATCAACGACTACTATCCAAACTGGCTTCACTACGTCTTGACCCGCTAATCTTCTCATGGATACGTGACTTTCTTTCTTACCGCGTGCAATACACCGTTACTAATTACCATGAGTCTGCCCTAACAAACGTTTCATCTGGTGTTCCTCAAGGGTCCGTACTGGGTCCCCTACTTTTTTTAATATTCATAAATGACCTTCCGGCCACCATTTTATCTAATATTCGCCTGTTTGCAGATGACTGTGTCGTATATAACAAAGTAACAAGTTTGCATGACAACATTCAACTTCAAGATGATTTAGTAAAAATTAATAAATGGTGCGAACAGTGGCTGATGCCATTAAACAAATCTAAATGTAAACTAATCTGTTTCACTAGAAAAAAAACTGTTTTGTCCTACCAATATTACTTGGGCTCCGATTTAATTGAGACCGTTCCTTCGTACAAATATCTTGGTGTAAAATTAACATCAGACCTTTCATGGAATAATCACATTGAAGCCATCTCCGCAGACACCTCCAGGACCCTGGGAGTACTCCGACGTAACCTTCGACCTGCTCCACCAACTGTCCGCAAACTGGCCTACGACACACTTATCCGACCTAAATTAGAATATGCTGCCTCCATCTGGAACCCCCATCAAGGCTACCTTATCAATCATCTGGAAGCAATTCAAAACAGGGCCACTCGTTTCATCCTCTCCACGTACGATAACTCCATCAGTGTCTCTTCCCTAAAAAGTCAACTCAACCTTTCTTCTTTGCAGCTTCGTAGGAACATCTCTCAGCTTTGCCTCCTTCACAAAATTTATTATGACTGTCTTGAACTTAAAACAGCATTATTATCACCTCCCGATCGAACATCATCTCGCCTCAACAATGACTGTACCATCAAAAGGATCTCTGGCTCAACAAACGCTTTCAACCGATCTTTTCTCCCACAAGCTATCAAAGACTGGAACAGCCTCCCATCCTCCATCGTCACCATCGTAGAACCAAACGCCTTTAAATCAAGTCTTCAATCGCACTTTTTATGTTGTTAACTGTTTACCAACCTTTTCCTGAATGTATTATTTTTTGTCTGTTTTTCCAATGTATAATATGAATGATCCCCCCCCTTATGTAATGCCCTCACGGGCCCTTAAGGTTCAATAAATGAAATGAAATGAAAGAATACAGCAAAAACATGGGCATTTTTATTTTGTTGAGTCACTTTTAGTCACCTCCTTACAAGGGGGAAAGGTGGAGGTCTACAGGTGACTGGTCAAGAGATGACGGGGAAAGTTGACCCCCTTGAAAAGTCTCGTGGCATCATTCACCTCATTCTTTTGGGGACTCTTTACAGACAATTGTCCCTCCCACGCCTCTGTCTCGAAGACGCGACAGAGTGCCGGCTACGGTCCCTCAAAGCCGAGACGAGACTCAAACGCTGAACTGTAGCCGTAGCCGACTCAACACCTTAAGACACGTCGTCGGCTCCTCGCCCCCCTCTTTGGAAACTTCGAGGGACCGGCGCCGGCAGGCGGGAGACTATCAATGCGACACCCTTAATTGACATAGAGGGTCGCGGCGCTCTCTTCCGTGCTGCCCCGCACCTTATTCAGCGATCGCAGGGCCTTCTCGCGCAATTTGCGTTCCAGTTCCTCGGGAACGGGTTCCTCTTCTGACCTCTGGAAGGAAGTGCAGCCCCTTGTGAGACACCCTGGACGGCATCCTCCTCCTCTTCCTCCTCTCTCCACACACACCTCTCTCCCCTCCAACTACCCTTCCTCTCTGTGCGCCCGCTAAACGACTAACCACGAACAGTCACCTGGGGAAGACAAGAACGCTTCAGCATGCCTCCCAGCCTGCTCGCCACAGGCAGCAACAAAACACACAAAGCGCTAGCAAGGTGGGTAAGAAAATAAAATTAAGGCGCCACAAAACAAATTATTTCTCACTATGGCTAACTATGGCTCTGAATGGACACTTTACGTCTGCAAAGCGTTGAATACGCAACCACTCTTGCTTACAAATAATGACTTTTTCTGCATTTCATTGGCTCCACTTTCTTATCCAAACCATTAGGAATGTAAAACGAGTCAGAAAATTTCCAATGTCAGACAATATTGAATGTCCCTATCAAAGCCCTTTTAATTACAAATAAATGAAACTAAGAAACGTGACCAACCACAATGCCTAGATAGAACATTCACTGCATGACTGATAAAGTCGGTTACACTCCAGCGCCCCAACAATTACTCTGCCTCAAAAGCCCTGTGCAGCATCGACCGCCATATTGGCTTGAGCGCATGCTTTTAGGATGTGCCTTGTTTAGTGGGAATGCTCGTAAATAAAATGAATTCGGCGGTTTTATTATGTGCTTTTGGTTTCAGTGGTGCTGCATACGGCCTTTGAGACGCAGTAGCCACTTCCGAAGAAACGCTGACAGACGCTGCGCGTGTTGAACGTACCTCAGCAGTCTGCGCCCTTTCGTCCTCCTCCTCTTCCTCGTCGTCCTCCTCTTCTCCCTTCTTGGCCCTCTTGTGTTTCCTGTGCTTCCTGTGCTTCTTGTGTTTCTTGTGCTTCTTCCTCTTCTTCTTGGAACTATCGTCTTCAGACTGCAGAGAAAATTAAGAGCTTTACATCACACCAGCTAACTTCCAAGATGCGCTTGTTCTCCTTCACATTTCTTGCACATTCCAATGCCCAAGGGGAAGCAGTCGCTCAATGCAAATGCCTCCTTCTTCTGCGCTCTTTGCCAGAAAAAGTGAGTCACGAATCCCAGACAACGGCTGCTCTAATTAGTCAAGCATCTGCAACAAACTCATGCCGTGACACTCAGCATCAACACCAAGCATGTAAAAAAAAACTTTCAGCCTTTCCACTTTGGCGAAGAAGAAAGACCAGCAAAGCTGTACTATGGTGGGAATAAAGTAATGGCTGGCCGCAAGTCGGCAAGCCAGAGTCGAAAGGCTGGAAAGGTTGCCGCTGTCGCTCATAGATGGTGGTAGCTGTCTAGGGTTTTGTGTCATGATTTGAGGAATGGAACTGGGCAAAGCAGCTTTGGAGCAATCTTGGGAGCGGCAATAACTACAGTTTGGAGCAGGCTGGGAGCAGCAAAAACAAGGTCTTGGAGAAAGTTGGGAGCAGCATACAAGTTTTAAGAATGTTAATATAGAGGCTAAATGTCAACTGGTTTTCAAAACTAAAGAAAATATGGCATGCAGGTAATTCCATGTGAACTTAACAGTAGCTTCAATAAACGTTTTAGTTGCAAATATTTTTCACAAAATTACGTGGAAATTACACAAAACATATGAAGCAAAACTGTGCATGACAGTGCGGCACGTGATAAAACCGACTTGTAAAGCGGTAAATATAAACAGGTACAAATAGCTTTCATTGCTCAGCATTGACTCGTAAGGTGTACCGAAAAATAAAAATGGAGGTACAAAAATGGCCTGTCATTTTTCAGTGACTAGAATACCACAATAAATGCCCTTGTACATACAAATCTATTGGGACACTGTCGATTGCTCACAGATACACTTCACGTTTTCTAAATACTTAAGCCAATTTCACTTTAGACTCCTCAGACAGCACTTGTCCAGACTCAATCTTCTCCACCTCCTTTTTCCGCTATTCAAGTTGTTGCTCTTCTTCCTGAAGACAAGCTCTCTTTGTACTCGCTTCCCTCGCATCGCTGTTCTTCCTCTTACGCCACTCGTCGTCTTGCTTTTCGACCTCAAGTCTTTCTGTGTAAGCTTTGCAGGAAGTCTGCTGTCAAAAGTACTTTTGTGACATCACTGCCTAATCGCTTCAATGCGAAATCACCATCTGGCAGCTTGTATCTTGCTCCATCATATGCCTCACAGCTTGCTCGCCTTTGTTCCCAAGTTTCCTGTGCGGGGCCGCGGCACACGTTTACTCCACTACTCAGATCTTCAGACTAAGCGACTCCATGACTTCAGAAGAGCACAGTGAGCATGCAGCAACGGCAGCTAACGTTGGCAGCAGCAACTTTCAGATGCAGATTTTTGGATTCTGATCCACTCGCGTCCCATTAGGACTAGAAGATCCAGTGACAATGTTGCCAACAGAAACTGCGCGGCGGCTAATTTCTACGAGGCTCGTTTATAAAATCGGTTTGGGAGCACCTTGGCACAATTTTGTTCTTATTTATACTTTTGTATCAGTGTGGCGCATGAAAAGTCATTAGGTGCACAGTGGCGTAATTGGTGAAGCAGTTCCATCCCCGCATTTGTTTGCTGGCAGACATGAACCTGGGGAAACTAGACCTTAACAGCTCCACCATAAAAAAAAAAAAATCTGTTTCACTCTAAGACAAAAGCAATGCTTCACATGAGCCAAGCAATTTGCTGTGAAAAGAAAAACAAACATAGTGCCCTACGCACCAATACGCATTTGTAGTGCCTCTCTTTTTTTCCTGACATGTAAGTGACTGGCGACACAGCTTGCCAGCTCCCGAGTTTGAGTGCTTGCGCCTTGTATTTCATGCAAAGAAAGATTAATAAAGGAGGAGTGCTGCTCACATCGCTGCTTTCCGACTCCTTCCTCCTCTTCTTCTTGGTCTTTCTGGAGGACTTGTCCGTTGCTGCGGCCGTCTTTGCCGTCACCTCGACCTCTTCGTACTCAGATTCTGACTCGGACTCGGACTTTGCTGGAACGGGAGCCGTCGGCTTGGTAGGGAGTCGCTTGGTCGCTGTGGCAACTTTGTCCTGCGAGGCATTTGAAAACGACATCAATGCTAGAAGGAATCGGAATTTGTGAGTAGCCGTTGCTCAATCGGTACGAAATCGAGCTACGGTAATGCAGCAGACACCCCTTTCTGCTCCCACGGATGTCCCATTTTGGCAGAATCTCGGACGACAAATCCCACAGAAGCATGTTTCGTTCAATGTGTCCAATTCTTGCTTTCTATGGTGTGAATTGGACCATTTCCTACTCAAAGCATTTACTGAAAGAGCACGCTGAATCGATTCTATAGCGACAAAAATTAGGGGTGTGCGAATACCGAATAGTAGTTTTTGAATCGAATACCGAATCGAATCAAGAAAAAAAAAAGTAGAATATCAAATCGAATATCGAATAGTGAATTTATTTGTAGGAATTTTTCAAAGTGTGCTGCGATTGAGATTATTATATGTGCAGAGTATGCGCCTGTTGCAGAATATGCATCTTTTACGGAACAAAAGCTAAAATGTAAAAAAAAATTCTGGTGAAAAAAAAATAAAAGCAGTTGCTGTTGGGCATTAAAGATCCAATTTTATGGCACAAATATAATATATCCACCCTAAACGTCATAAAAAAACCAAAGTTACAGCCAGGCAAGCCTTTTTTTCTTGTTAAAAGCACAACCTAACACTGCGAGTTTTTTTTATACATATCTGTATATCTCAGAAAAGGGGCATTTTGCAATGTTTCATTTCCATTTTATGGAATAAAAAGGGCACCCGGGATTTTCTTTCACATAAATAAACAGATAGGTGTTAAATTTGAGTGAACAGGCTAAACAATATAATCTGAAGTAACAAAAAAAAATGTGGTTAGGTGGCGCAAGACACCGTCCAACTGGCGCTGTGCATACATTTTTCCGTCCATCCATTTTGTTTTAGAGAGCCTTGATTTAAAAGAGGGAGCAAGGGAAACTGAAACCACGGAGACGGCTCCAGCGCAGATTGGTCGTAAGTGCGCATGTGTTGTGTTGTCGCGTGGAAAAAGGCAAGCAAACAGAAAGGCAACGATGCCTACCCTTCCTGCCCTGCCTGCCCGATCCCGATAGACGCTTTCGTCACCTTCTCGCAGTTCGTAATTCAAACGGAGCTATCGAATGGTTGGAAACCCTCTGAAATCTAGGCACACTATTTTTCCGTTCCGTTTCGTTCCGAATGAGAATTTGCGGCTTGCGGTTCCAAAAGAACGACGACGATAACGATAACTCGGCTGGTTTCATCGGTGTGGTTAACGTGGTTTTCTTTCTGTGATCGTGCAGTCGCCGATTTCTTGGGAGTGCGGCCAAGTGTGTTTTACATCGGTGCTTCAATTTGAAACGAGGGGCTTTACTCGTGAAAAGAATTAGGCATGGCGCGGGATTCCGGCCTCCCAACAATTCCTCTCTGGAAGTGGCGCAAACGGGATGTTTCGGTTGTGATTCAAGGGTAGGTTGTGTCATGATCGTGAGTAAATCTGCGTGCTATAAAGTTTGTGGCGTTTGTCGCTTTTCTGTTTTCTAACCTGTGCGTTAGATTTTTGTGGAATGGTAGGACCAAGAGCTGTTTTTTGCAAGGTCTGTCTAACATCACTGCACTTACATCGGGAGAAAAAACGGCTCTTTTGTCAGCACCACGCCGACCGCGCGTCTTTGGCCGAATATATTGAATATTCGAGTGACCGAATACTAGGAATTCGATTCGTGAATCGAATTACTCGGGAACTTTCTATTTGATTTGAATTCGTATATTCAAGTATTCGCACACCCCTATCAAAAAAATTCCCCCATAACATCTTAAATAATTTTAACGAAAGAACTAGAGTAAAACCAAAACCAAAACTAACTTGCAACTTTACTGAGCTGCCATCTTGTCGCAATCTCAGATGTATAAATATCTGTATATCGGCAGCTCGAACCCGTTTCCCACAGCGTCCGAAGCAGTTAGAAGGCCGTCACAATCGCCCGCAGGCAATAACTGACTACGACTCGTCGAGCTCATCCTAGTCAAGCAACGACCAGCAAATGTTTCAAGATTTTCGGACAATTCGCTGCTCGCATTTGATCCGCAGTGGCAGGCGGCATTTGTGATTCATCGACATATGGACCCAGATGCCGCTTTAGAAGCAGAATGGTATGAAAGGTTTTGTTTGCTAGTGTGGTGTGAACTGCGTTATAACATGGTGCGAACACCAAGAGTCAGCATCTGTGTAGGACTGCTCAGTCTCACTTCCTTTCCAGAGGGTTCCCGGTAAGAAAACAATGAGATGTCACTCTACTGCATTACAATATGGTGTTATTGCACCCCACAGCATATTACAAATCCCCCCCCCCCCCCCCCCACCACCCTCCCCAACCTCTACTGCATGCTGAAAATAGCCTAATCCAGACACAAGCTGCCAAACCACAGACACTCACTGTTACTAAAACGCACAACGCCCAGGAGAAGGGAGCATCTGCTTTCGGATTCGACTGTTGATGTCACGAGCGATCCCAGCGTTGACCCTGCTCGTTGTTGCCAGCAGAGCGGCAGCCACTAATTCAGAGCCATACGCGTAAACTTCCAAATTAATTTTCTCGAAGTATTTTAATGAGATATTTCGCAGACATACTCAGGGGGGGATATTTAGAGCATGGTAAAACTTTTATAAATATAGATGACCATCAATATTTTGCCAAAAGTCACTTTGATGTCGCATCTTTAATATGTGGGTGCCTTGTCATCAATGCTGGCAATGTCAGACAATTACTGCATTTACCCATATATGCAAAGCACCTCTTCCTATTTATTTAAAAGAACTTCAAGTCCCTTATATAGAGATTGTAGCAGAATGTAAGAAGAAATTTCACTCAAGGTGCAACTATGACGATACAACTGACAGATCACGTCTTTCCTGCACATACCGTAATATCCCGAGTCATTGCCCACCCCACTTTTTGGGCAAATCTCGATTTCCAAAAAAACACAGAGTGACTGCCCACCCCTACAAATACCCCAATGCAGACTCCGCGATTCGCAAACATTTATTCTACCTGAATAACACGACTGAAGATCTTGCGGTTGGAGGACATCTGTGACAAAGTAAAACGAAGGAGGAAAGACACTTCTCTATGTTCACGCATTTCCTTCCCGGTTTCAGCGACCCCAAAGTCGTAGTATATGCGTGCGAAACCAAAACGAAGGAGGTAACAGAATAAAACTGTATTGCTTACAAAACAATTTGTTCAGACAAAAAAAAAAAAAAAAAAGGTTTAGAAGAAAGCACAAGCAGTGACCCCTTCAGGGATTGCTAGGTCAGCAAACGGCCCATATCCCGGAATGTAACTGTGGAGAGCAAGGTAAAAGTTTGTATCCACCAAACTAAGGTCACTGCAAACCTGCTCCTTCTACCGGAACGTCGCGGCTGGTAAGGTTGTGCAATGTTTCAAAACCAACGGGTAAATAAATATTTACTGTAACGGCTCCGTGATCAGGGTGCCGTCCACGCTACGCAGCAACGTTGCCTCAGCCCGTGTTCATAGCACAGTGCGCACGGACCCACGCATGCATGCACCTAACAATAAAGTTGCGCAAGAGCCTACTCCTTGCGATTGACAAGGCACCCGACTTGGCCTGATGCAGAAGTATTTGCCAATGGAATCACCAGCTTTCCCGCTTCCCCAGTATCGTTCTTCGTCGCTTCTTTTGTCTGCTCGCTCGCTCGTTGCACCTGGTTGGTATTTCTGTTCTCTTCTTGACTTTTTTTTTTCTTTGTTCTGCTAACAAAGAGATCATAGCATGTTAAAAGCATGCTTTCACGGAACAAACGTTTTGTGCTGTATGCCGATCACGCATATGCAAGCGACAGACTTGGCGATAATAAAACACTTTTTTCTTAGCATTTGATGCATAAAACAATGAAACTAATTTGAACTTTTAGCTCAGTGTATCTCTTGCACAGCCACACTAAATACACACTGAAAAATGTATGTTTTTCCAGCTTTATCTAAACTTTTTTTGCCTACCCACCGAGACATGGCTTACGCCACTTTTTTTTACGAGTTGCAGGCGGCAGGAAGGTGGGCCAATGACTCGAGGTATTACGGTAAACACGGACATGTCACCTCGTGGCAACTCAACACCATGTGGAAACTGCCGACACGATTCGACAAAGAGGGAATGGCAACTCACGGGTGGCGGCCTCTCGGGAGACGGCGAGCCCGAACTGGAAGATGACGACGACTCCGATTCCTCGGGAGGCGCCTTCTTGCGCATTTTTTCTGGCGGAGGACCCTCTTCTTCCTCCTCCGACGATGAAGACGAAGAGCCAGACGGGGCAGGCGGCGCCTGCTTCCTGTTGGCAGCTCTCCTGCCGTCATGCCGCAGCTCCATGGATGGCGACAGCTCTCGTCTGCTACATGCAAAACACCGTGATACTCAAACAACTGGCATCTGCAACGCTAACAGAGAATTTACTAAAATACTGCATTTATGAAAACAGATCACATGTATTTCGTAATACCCCAAGAGATGCCCCACCCCTACTTTTGGTAGGATTTGCTATTTTCAGAAACACAGAAAGACTGCCCACTTCAAGTAATTGCAGAGACTTGGCAGAAGGCAACCTCGGCAGGAACGGTGTTACTTAGCCACGACGGGAGACAAGCAAACAATGCTGATTGGGAAGGGCAGTGGTCTTTGGTTCATCGCCTTTTCCCGCAACCATGGGTTTCCCTGGTCACAGAATCTAAAACTACCATTTTTTTAACATCTTTCGACTGCACCATCGAAAGTTAGTTCACTCCATATTTTCACCCGATTGCTTTTGCTTTTAGGTGGGCTATCTCTCGGGATGCTACGGTAAGTTGGGGGAGGAACTCAAAAAATAAACTCCTAGAGACCTCATTGAGGCAGCCAACGGTTTTCTACGAGACCTTTCGTAAGGTATCAAATAAACCCAGGTCCACAGTGAAAAGAAAGATGGGAAAAAATTTAGGGTGTACTACTATCTTCTAGGGTGAGACGGCGAAAATTGACACTAAAATAAACATTTTTTACCGAAATAAGCAGCAACAGGCTACACTCGCAACTCGAATAACACTGTGTGCAACCAGCACAGCTCGTGCCGGTGAATCGAACATACCGTATTTATTTGAATATAAGGCGAGGTTTTTTTCCAAAATCCGTAATCTCAAAGTCATACCCCACCTTATATTCGAAGCTCAGTATAGCAATATGAGGATTTTTTTTCTTTTTCTTGGGTCCTTCAACTGCCCCCTCACCTTATAAACGTGACCGCCTTATATTCGAATAAATACGGTAGCTAGTGCCTGTGGAAGACAGCCCGAAGGCCAAAAAAAGGCACTCACGCATGGTGGCTGTTCTGCTGCCGCGCCATGGCCATTGCGTGGTGCCTTGCCAAGGCTGCCTCCTGGGCTTCTGCGGGGGTGTGGGACCTCCTAGCCTGGCCCCTCGAGGGCGGGGACACGGGACCCATGTTGGGCGGCGGCACGGGGCGCTGCTGGCGCAGGTCCATTTCCCGCCGCGGTTCAGGGCTGCCTCCCCCGCCCCGACCTGACGGATAGACAGAAGCAGAGGACACTGGCCGATTAAAGAATTGTCGAAGAGAAAAGAATGAGATACCAAAGAACAATATTTCAAGGATATGCTAAAAAGGTGATAGAGAGGTGTGCTGATGAACTTTCACTTTGAATATATGAAGTGGGCCAACAGTGAATGCTAGAACTTCTTTGGTTTAACTTTATTCAAGAAATACTGCAGACGGTTTTTCACCATCCTAGCAGGAGAGGGTTACATCACGTTTCTTAGAAAGGAGTCATAACTGTTGTATGTTAAAGCTTGCCTCAACCTGGTATTGCCGCAGGTCTCGTTTTTGGTTCATTCCCTCAACCTTGGGGTTTCCGACGTGGCTATTTTGTAGCACCTAGCAAAACATACAAATATCTCTGGCTCTGACGGTTCCTCTCAGGTTCAACCGGGATGGAGGTTCCACAAGCTTAAGACATTGGCTACTCACTAGCACAATCAAACAAATTATTGAATGACCGAGCAAATCTTGGGGGTTCAGGTTAGCAGCAAGCTTACCTCCAACCTCGACTGCTTAGAAGAGATTACAAGTCCCCGCAGCAAACACCCCACACTTTTCGCCACATTGACTTCTTATAATTTGCTAGACGAAGCATTTTGTAGTCATTTTTTTCTTTCTGGATTAATAGAGGGATGCACAGGAAAGGCTACGAAGAATGCTAAGTCGTAATTTCAACTCTAGTACTTCAACCCACATCAACAACATTGCCGACCAGAAGGTCACAATCAAAACGGGAGAATCAACAGCAAGCAAGTTTCACTGCAAAAGTGAATAGCGACAGCAAACAACCGCCAAAAGCGGGGAGCTACGAATGGGGCAGACTCACGCATTTCCCGCTGCATCACGGGGCTCTGGTTGCGTGGCGGCGGCCGGCGCTCCGAGGGCGAGGTGAACCTCCTCCTCTCCTCCCGCATGGGAGGGGGAGGGGAGGGCCGCCGCCGTCTCTCGGGGGTCAGGCTCCTCCTCCGCATGTGCCGGTGTCTGGGGGAAGGACTTCGGCGCATCCTGTGAGCGGCGCGAGCGAGAGTCAAGGCTGTGCAGACGGTACGGAAGATCCCATACCGGCCACGGATAAAACAGAAACGCCGTCTCACCTTCCGTGTGGACTCTGTCGACCTCTGCGTCGCCCGGGAGACACCGAACCGGCCGAGCCAGACGAAGAGGCCGATCCCCTGCGCCGGCCAGCCTGAGAACACATCAATTCAGTGTCAGTCCAAAGTCTTGCCGAAAATGTCACATGAGCTGCAGACACGACCAAGCACCGGACGAGGGACAAGAAACGAGCCAAGAAGCAGGGTGTAAAATAGGCAGGTGGGGAAACGACTGGTGAAACCTGCCGCGGCTGTGCGACCAGATTGTCCTCCTGGCAGCTTCCACTCGGCAGGTACCTCTGCCCTACGACAGATGAAGCGGTGGCATACGGAAGGCGATGGATTCAAGTTTGTACGGAATTCCGCGAGAAAATGCACCGTGTCAGCGACATTCTTTAATTTAAAGTAACATTTACTAAATCCTGGCAAAATAAAGATACAAAGTAATTACCGTATTTGCACGAATATAACGCTGGTTTTTTTTCGGAATTACGTGCTCCAAAACATACCTCGCGTTAAATTCGGAATTGAGTTCAGCCACGAGGCGCGCGAGTCTGGAGAAAGCCATCCTTCCGGCTCAATGCAGGAGATCGCATGGGAAAAGAAGTGGGGGTGTGGGGGGAATTTATTAGCTATTGGGCCACGTGAAGGGGCAAATAGAGAACATAAAAAGCATTTTTATGGCTTCTGTGTTTGTAAAACACACGCACGTCGCAGAAACGCGGGGCGCCATGCGGAAATGTGGGCACCGGCCAATTCAAGCCAAGCCAGGCCAAGTCAAGCCAAGCCATGACCACCCACCGTGTTTACGGTTACGCAATCATGCAACACGAGGTGTTTGTTTATGCGTTGGGACCAGAACAAGAATAAGTGTGATCGTGCATCAAGTTCTGCAGTCTTTTTTCTGCCTGCGCATTTTTTAGTTTGTGCTCCAGAGTGGTCTGGTGTTTGTGCGTTGGTGCTTCTGCTTCATGCTTTGCTTTGCTTGTGGGCTGCCGAGTAGCTGACCCTGAAGAAAAAGGGACTACCAGACAAGCCGCTCTGTGCTGCTGCTTATGTGCGTAGTCCCCGAGTGGATTGTAAAAGGAAGGACCTGAGCAGTGAGGATGAGTGCAGTCGAAACATAAACTGATATTTCTTCTATATCCATTGCCTTTTGACTTCTGCTATGCCCCCGAGTGCGGGAAATGTATGCGGCCTCGGCTCGCATTATAATAGTAATATTTCTTCTTTTTGAGGGCATCAAAACTTGCCCTCGCGTTATATTCGTGGTTGCGTTATTTTAGTGCAAATACGGTATTTAAGCCATTTTTCTTAACTTTAATGTTCTCTCCAAGCCGCGCGAGAGGCTGGCAATATGAAATCTGCGAAGCGTCCGGCGTACCCTTTGCTTCGTTTGCATTGCTCCCAAATGCGCTGTTTTGGCTCTCACTGTTTTGGCATCTGGGGACGACCAAGATTTTTTAGGTATGCACTGCTACTGCTGTATTCCAAACTGTCGGTCGAGTTATGGCCCGAAGAAAGGAAGAGTGCCGATATTCAACGTGGGCGATGCTGAGTTAAAGGGCAACTCCGCTTCATTTTTGATATTTAGAAAACTATGTAGCCCTCTTCAGTATCATATAGGAAGACCCCATGTCAAATATTATGATCTAATTCCATTTATATATTTAATAAACTGGCCAGCAAACCTTCAAGCGAGCCAAGTCGCCGAAATCTGCCAACTCTAGCGTGCGGCACGAGGCGCAATCATCAGCGCAGTCAATGCCACGGAGTTGGAGCGGCCAACGTTGAACCACTACGTCAGAGGCATGACTACGTCATTCTCACGTTTTGCTTGTTTTTACTTCTCAGAGCGAAATTGAACGATGACGTCATGAGTTTCTCCTCCCGGTGTTGGCTGACCGGGCGTTCACGTGATCACCGTAACACGGATGCGCTAGTTTGCGCTGCCCTGCGCGCTTATCGGTCGGTTTCTCCGCTCCCCTTCTCCTCTTTCGTCTTCTCCCCTTCCCCCTCTCCCCCGGGTCATCACCGTCCACGCCTTGCAAAGCGACCTGCCCGCGTCCAATAAAAAAAAAAAGAAAAGAAGACCTGCCCGCGTCGCGTGTCCTGTTTCTCGCTCCCTCCCGAACGTCACAAGACCACGTGGTTCGACGTGACGTGGCCATGACTCTGGCGACCCGAGACCTATGTTGCCTGACGCAACTGAAGTTTCGGTTTCCCTATCTGCTGATGCTTAAATTAGGATTACACAAATAATATTCCACATTTCGCGAATCCGAAGATGTAGAGTTGTTTAGTAGTGCTTTGTGAATGTGAATCATATGGAAGCCTAAATTTTCCGGAATTGAGCGGAGTTGCCCTTTAAGGTGACTCTCATACAGGATATAGTGTGACAGCGTAGTGCTGGCTTCAAACCACGTCGCACTAAAACTTACCTTGTTTGCACATAAACAGCGAAAACGTATAAGCTAGATCGCTGAACATATCCGCAGGCAGAGTGGAATTGGATGCGTCAATGCACTCACGACATGCCTCAGGTCTTTGCAGACTTTTCAGCTCGCATTCAAATTGGCGTGCAGCGAGCCAAGAAGTTTGAAACATTGTGTGAATATGCTCAATTATTTTAGCTCATAATGTAAAACTTCAGGCAAAACAGAACCCATATAATATAAATTATTGGTTTGCTCAATAAAACTTGTGCTGTTCATGGACAGTTTATGAAATAAATTGCAAGTGAGTCACATTGCCTGCAAAATAAATTATATTTTGTTTTTCGTTTATTCTCTTCGTGGCGGCATCTATGTAGAGTGCCGCGAACTTACCTGAAGCGGGGACACAATCAGGTCACCCAATCAGCTTTCGTTTCCCTACCTGCTATATTACACCCTGCTGAGATGTAAAACTGGCATGGTGACCGGAAAGTGTCTTCAACCATTTCGTTTAGGGTCCCAAGGTGGCAAAAAATATGTTACAGGATCCGGTGTCGAATGGCGGCTGTAGAAGCGTCGTTAGACACCATTGTAGAAGACAAGCAAACACAGATGTCGCTGTCCTTGCAGTGACCCAATTCGCAGTTGCCTAAGTGTCCGCGACCAATGTGGCTGCGGAGCACATTAGAGCGAAACGGGTGCCTGCTGCGTAGGGGAGGAAACCCAACCGTCACTTCCTTAACAAGGGGAACTACACCCATGGAAGCAACAACGACATAATTATCGTCAATTATTTTTTCTGTTTCAGATGCTGTGCCCACTGACACAGCCAAATTCTGCGTAAGTGTTCAGTATTGTAGATTGGTGAAGCACCAACTGAACGCAACTCCCAGCTGAACGCCGATAAATCCAGTCCACGGGTCTTGCGTCGGGCAGACACAGAGCTCTGGGGAAGACGAGCCAGAATATAGTTTGATCTCCTCCCCAACATCCGCCTCCACGGCAATGTCATGGCCAGGACCTTTGCAGCGCTTCGAGGCATTACGTCACGACGTGGAAACCATGGGACAGAAATAAAGACATTGTAGAAGGACCCATTGTGGACAAACTTCTGGGCAACGTAGTCGTGAGGTCTAAACCGATGGCGTAAGCGAGAACACGGCTGCAAAAAGGGACCCCAGAGGACACTCACCCCCCTGCGCATTCCACCCCGGCCCTTGTCGCCGCCGGCCCGCCTGCCCGGGGGCGCTTCATCGGAAGCGCTGCCAGACTCCTCGTGGCCACCGTGAGACCTGTAATGGCGCTTCTGCTGCACGGAGTCCTTGCGCAGGCCCAGCTTCTCCTTCAGCGGAGATGCCTGCAACCGGGCCGCCAAGCGTCAATGCCGTCGTCGTGCATCATGTGTCAGACGACGGTTCACCGTACGGTTGAACCGTTGTTCCACATACTTTTTCACGAGTGAACGTACAGTCAGAGACCGATTTTTCACTTGCCGATAATTCGGATTTGTTTGATATTTCGGACCTAAAAGAGGAACCATGAACTCCACTGATAGAAATAGTGCACATTTCCGACCAATGTTTCAGACAGTTTGAAGTCCGAATGTTCAATTTTTCGGACAAAATCGTCGCGAGCGATCGGTGGGAAACGCCACCGAGAAGCCGGCCTTTCAGGCCCCATGTTGTCTGCACATGGATTGGTGGACTGGTTTGGTTTGGCAGTGCTACTTGAGTACTGCTAAGTCCTACCACCAGGTAACGCTATGCTAAGCCTTTTTTCCCCTCTAGCTACGTGTCATTATCATCACTGTTACGATTTTGCCTTGTTCATTCGCCATTCAGCAGTCGTGAACTTGCACATCTCATCTCGTCTCGGTGAATGGTGTTTTCAGACTACGCCGGCTTGGATGTTGTGGACCCCATCTGTTCTTCTGTCGCCAAAAAGTGTGAAAAGTACTTTACCATAATCCTAAAAAAGGCAGCAATTCTCAAGCTAAGAGAAAGCGGCCGAATGCAAGCGGAGGCGTAACCTGAACCAAGACACTATTGAAGACTTTTTTAAGGGGACACACCCCCTGGGAGGGTCAACTTTTGAACCCTTGACATAAAATTAATTAAATTTACAAGGTACGCTGGTGGTCATGCTAGAGGGTGCATAACAAAATTTCAAGTCTGTTGGTTAAATGTGAAGGAAATTAGAGCAGCTTCTATCACCAATGCGCCTTCATTGTTTAGTTAATCTATCGTCGGGAAACTTATCCCAATATTCAAGATTTTTATTCGATAGATATGTAGCAGAATGCCTAGGGGGTGCGGCTATGAAAGTTTTTTTTTTGTAAAAAGTCATTTATGTCTATAAATTTTCTCTTCTGCAAAATTTGTCATCGTTTCTGTCGCCTGTGTCTTCGACAAAATGTCAACATTTTTTATAAAAGAAATCTGTAAACTGACAAAAAAATTTCATAGCCTCATTTCTTATTAAATTTCAGCCAGGAAAAGTGTAGAATGACCCTTCCCTGTATTGCCATTATCAAACGATTGATTGACTAAAATGGAATTTATACCAAAAGGTGGAACGGAAAAAAAATGCATTCAAGTGCTCCGAACCCTACCTTGTCTTTAGCTCTGGTGGACAGAAAATATTTTATAAAAAATTAACTATGGAGTGTAAGCTAACTAAACTTTCTGGTAATATTCTCTAGATGTTGGTGGATGTAAATATGTCATTTTTCAAAATCAACTTTTTTTTTGCAGATATTTCCTTTTCTGGGTAGTGTCCGAGCAATCGACTAAGCGATTACGACTAAGCGGGTCTTAAGGAGGGACACGGGTCTTGGGGCCCGAAATATTTGCAAAAAAACGATTTTTCATTTTTATTATTTTTGAATTCTTTATTCTCTCTTGCATATATTGACCAAACTTGACGTCCAAAAAATGTGTCGGTTTATATAAAAACGGTTATTTATTAGCTGAACAGGCGGGGCCCGCTCGCCAAAAATGCTCCAAACTCCTTGACATTGCACCGTCCGTCATTTCGAAACCAATCTGCAGAGCACCGCCATCTTGGTTTCGTTTCAAAGAGCGTCTCTTTGGCTTGCTTTCCCGCCAAACACGAGCGGCCTACGCCGCGCAGTAAAAAATATACAAAGCAAAACGCAAAAACAAATAAAGCCACGCTATTTTTCCTTAGCCGACACGTGACGAAATGGCTGCTTCTGGTTGGAGCATGACTACTTCCGGTGACTTCCGGTCCAAAAGTGGGCCGCGCCATCTTGTCAAAGCCGTCGCTTCGCGCTATCGTCGCTATGCCTAACCCTAGACCAAGCCCGCGTCGAAAATTTCGAACCGTGCATAAGTTCGGAAAAAAGCGCAAGAAATGTGTGACGCGTCGGCAGGAAGGGTTGTCGCAATCAACGGTGACGATCAAAGATCCCCTCGCAATGACGGAAAGCCTGCCGACGACAGAGCGTGAGCCGGCGAGTGAGACGGCTGCCGCGTCGGCGGTTTCGGAACCGCCCGTCTCCCCCGTTCCGGACAGCGGAGGCAGACGCACGAGGATCGACTCAACGTTCCTTACAAGTAAAGATCGCGAAGTTCTCCAGCACCAAGCAGAAAAAAAAACCGCCGAACTTTCGTCGACTTCTGCTACAGATCGCAAGATGAAGATGCTCGCGACTGAGTGTGATGCTGCTCCAAGTTCATCACCCCTGACATACACGATCGTCGATCTTGACGCAGTGAACAGTTTACTGGAACTTACTGCGTGCCGGGTGTGCCGCGGATCAGTGAGCATTGAAAGGGAGACGCATGACTTCCGGCTAGCTGTGAAACTGAAAATGCACTGCGGCAACTGTGGCGATATTGGATCCGAATGGAGCTCGCGACGAGTCGGGGGCGAAGCGAACTGCAACCCCTTCGCGATCAACCTCCTCGCGGCGCGTGCTATGCAGGGCAGTGGAAACGGTCAAACGGCACTAAACGACATTTTCGCTGATCTGGGAATATCGCACAGAGGTCTCCATAATAAGACCTTCCAACACTACCTCAAGACAAAGCTACACCCAGCAGCTAAAGAGGCCTGCAAGAAGACTCTGACCAAGTGTGCAACTGCAGTGAAGGAAGTGTATGAAGAACTGAACTTTGGAAATCCGGGGAACATTGCCATTTCATTCGATGGGACATGGCACACAAGAGGACACTCATCCCGCATAGGGGTGGCCTCAGTGATTGAGCTCTTCTCAGGCTATGTTCTGGACTATGTTGTGTTGTCGAATTTCTGTCTTGGCTGCGAGTGTGGGCCACAACCAGGGAGCCCAGAGTACGATGAATGGAAGGCTCGGCACTTGTGCCAGAAAAACACGACATGCAAGGCAGGTCAGATGGAGGTCGAGGCGGCACTGATTCTTTTTCAGCGCTCGCTCTCCCTCCACAGCCTAAGGTATACGACAATGCTTTGCGACGGCGACAGCAGATCTTACCATGCCATCGAGGAAGCCAAGGTGTATGGTTATATTGAAGTAGAGAAAGAGGACTGCACAAACCATGTGCAAAAGCGCATGGGAACCGCACTCCGCAATCTCGTGCAAAAGCACAAGCAGGACGACGGAGGGCGCATCAGTGGCAAAGGACGACTCACTGGAGACCTTATCAGCAAGTTGACCAGCTATTACGGCTGGGCGCTCAAGTCGCATGCTGGCAACGTAGACCGAATGCACTCAGCAGTGATGGCCACCTACTACCACATCACTTCAACTGACGAGAAGAAAAACCACAGTCTGTGCCCGAGTGGTGTGGATTCATGGTGCAAGCACAATGCCGCCACTGCAAAGGACGAGCCCCCACCAAAGCACAGGTACAAGCTACCAGACAACGTCAGCGACGCACTACTTCCAGTGTATCAGCGTCTTGCTGACAAAAGGCTCCTGCGGAGATGCCGAAGAGGCAAAACTCAGAATGCCAATGAAGCGCTGCACTCCGTCATCTGGAGCCTAACGCCGAAACACAAGCATGCATCACTGTTTGCTGTGGAGACGGCAGTCGCGGATGCCATCATGCGCTTCAATGTCGGAAAGCAGCAAGCTACCTCAAGCATCCTACAAGAGTTGCAACTTGACCAAAGCTGCAAGGGCGGTCAGCGGGCAGTGGAGAAGGACTGTCGCCGCAGTGTGAGGGCAGCAAGGAAGCGTGCATGCAGCCTCGGCAGCTTTCCAAGCGGCAGCAAAAAGAAGGCAACGAGGCAAGCCTCACGGAGATTACTCCCCAGGAGCATTCTGAGCTGCCTGCATGTTTTCTGGGCGTGTTTTTCATTATATTCATTGATGTGTCTATGGTCGTTTGTTTTTTGTGTTTTTCTCAGATAAAGGTTTTTGTTACATGCAAGTTTTGTGCAAGTCGTAACTTCTCTCCTACTCACTGGATTCTCATCATTTTTGTTTTGACTGGGTGCTGGCTGTGCAAGGAGTGCAATAAGGGTATAACATTGTGATTCTATGTACCAAAATATATTGTAAATTTGAGAAAACAAAAATATAAAGAATGAGCACTTATTGAGTCATGGCTTCAAACTTCCATAACTTTGGATAGAATAAAGATAAAAATGTAAAACCTCCCTTGTTGCACTCCTTGAACATTCAAGAACATGCACATATATGTTTCAGACATTTCTCTGCTACATGTACTTTCCTAGCCTTCTCACAATTGCACAACTGGAGAAAGGCTCTAAAACATGACCTACTTCGTCTAGAAGAAAATTAATTGCTTATTCGAAGTCAGTGCACCAAGTTACATGTAGCCTGAAAGTTATTCCTTTATACCCAGAACGCTTGAGCAACTTTTGCTCAAGCCCCAGGTCTCCCCTTAAGCCCGCTCAGTTGTAATAAAAGCAAGCTTTTTAATCTGCCAATTTTTCGTACTATTTGGCCATTTTTTCCGTCCCAGCGAAGTCCGAAAAATCGGTCGGCGACCGTAGTACCACATTTATTTCAAAATAGGTTGACCTTATTACGAAGAGACCCGCGTGTCTACTTTCCCGCAGAACTCGAGAAGACCAATCATTTAAGACTTACGAGAGGAGCCGGCAAATGGCGAAGCAGAGGTAACGTTTGGAATAAAAAAAAAAGTGTGATCCACACAGATCTCATATTTTGTTTTGACGTCATGAGTGCCTTGCCGTTCGTCAGGCATCTTCCACGAATTTCAGTGATTGGCTCACCTTGAGCGTTGCAGAGAAATACACGCGCAGGCATTGTTCATAGAGGTAGACCTACCTATATTAGAAAAATTCACAGGGTCTTTTTTGTTATCCCTAAAACGACTAGAAGGCAAAAGCTCAAGTGCCGATGCATCAAAGACCGACACATGATTTACCGATGTGGCGGTACCCCTCCACCCGTGGCAGAGGGGTACCACCACGGGTGGAGGGGTACCGCCACGTCTGACTACTGAAAGAAAGGTCGCTGGTTTGACACCAGCCGAGGCACAAGTGCAAAAAGTCTTTCTGGAAGAATATAGCGCATCCGCCGATTTTGGCACAAATAACGCCATCCCGTGGTCCACTAACAAACCATGGATATCGGTACTTTTCGTGTTGCCGGTTTTCGTACCTTTCGTGTCTCAACGACTTTTCGCTTAAGGACTTTGAAGGTTGACTGAACGATGAGACAGATAAGGCTTTTGCCTCAACAAATACAGTATTTGCCGGCACCAAGTCCTTCCGAGGCATCTACCAAAATTATCAATTGCCCGACTAGTGCAGGTTTTCCCAAATATTTTATCAAAATTCCCCGACCGACTCAAGGGGTGTCCAAACAGGACACTACAAAACGCACGACTCCGACAAATCGTGAAAATTGAAGCGGGCTTGAAGCGGGCACGTCCGCATTAATTTTCACGATTTGTCCGAGTCGTGCGTTTTGTAGTGTCCTGTTTGGACACCCCCTCATAAGGGGAGTCGGTCGGGGAATTTCATTACGTGAAGACACTGAGATATCCAATTACTTTCCCAGTTCAATGTGAAATATAGGGTTGCACTTGGGAAGGATTTAGAATGAAAGTCACCGGACCTCACCCGCAAGACAATGCTTTATAACCATTTTAAAGCGACCAAATGCAGCCAAGAAAAATTACACCCATCATCGAAAACGAGGCGCACACGCATCACAGGTTCAGTGGACGGGTCTCGAGACTTTCGCCAGGCTGGTTGTTCTAACCCCAACTTAAACACCGGACCAGTTCTAGGCAAGCTAGCTAATTAATCCTACGCCGCTGGCGTGGCACTCACCGCCTGGCGCTTGCCTGGCTTCCCTTTCTTTGCGGAGCCCTCGCTGGAGCTGGATGAGGCGGACGAATTGGAACTGGAGCGTGATGCGATTGGGGATGCAGACCGGTGCCTGCATGAAAAAGCATTTTTTTCCCTTGAGGCTACGTCGGCGCGACTGCACCTTATGACACCTGCAGAGGGTCTCTATGGAGACGCCATCCCAGGCTGAACTAATGACCAAATCCTAATGTATACAGGCTGGTATCGATACTCCCCAACGGGATAGCGCAGAACCTCAGACACCGTGTAGAATGAGCCAGAAAAATCGGCCCCTGCACCTGCGAGTCGAAAATATAATTGAAAGATTGTTTTATGTGGTCAGTTTTACGCCGCAAACTTCCAAGAGGAGCTTGGGTCCTCTGACAGATGAAACAGAAATATTTAAAAAAAACTTAGCCTCGGTTCTGCAATGAAAAGTTGGTGCTACGCGTCAAGATCGGAAAAAGTCGATCAAATCAAGGGCATTCTTCACGTAGTCAATCCTCCACCCTAACTGAACTTAAACGGTCGCAGTCAGCTCAAAGCTGGAAATAAAAGCACTAAGGTCAAACGTGGCTGCGTTAACACACCGACCACACATCGCTTGCAGCGCTGTCTGACTTCCGCTTTGACGACCCGTGGCGCCACCCGTTGACAGGAGAACCAAACACAAACATTGACCCGACAACATCTGCACGGCACCTTCCGCTCGGGTTTTCGAGCATTTTGTTCTTCGTGGGACCGGAGCTACGTCTTAGAATGCCCCCAGAAAAATCCTATAAAACTCGCTACAACCAGGCATACATTTCTACAGCTGAATTTACGTGGTATCCAATGTTCATGACGCCACATAGACAAGACATGAAAAGAACCGGCTAGTATAACTGAGTGCCCGGACCATTTCACTTTTCCGTTTCATTTGTTTTTTGTGAGCGTGTGTGTCTACCAATATCTAGATTATGGCTGCTTTCGGGCAAAAGAGATGAATAAACAAGTAAATAAACCACTCCAGTACTCCGCACAAAGGAGAAATAAAAACATTTGCACACGGTGAGGCTGATTCTAAACTTGCTGGTGCTTTTGCGGGTGTAGTATGATGTAACTGCAGCCTCTTATAAGAGATGTTGTCATCAGTACTACAGTTAACTTTCGTTAGTTCGACTTTTCGTTTAATTCGATCGTGTCCAAAAGTCCCGGCGAGCGCCCATACATTTCTATGGGAAGAAAAGTTTGATAGTTCGAACTCGGGAAGACTCCGCATCAGATAATTCGTCCAACGAATGCGCGCGGGCTCACATTGCCCTGGCACCACGGCAGAAAAACCACCAACATATGGCAAAACACGAGCACTTTGCTGCGAAGCCGAATGCGGCAAATATGCGCCTGCTCCTCTACGTTATTGAGGTGGACTGTTGCGAAGGGCACGAGCCAGCGCAGCCAATCTGACGTGGAGTAGCGCGGAGAACATAGCACGTGGTCGGGCACGCACGAGCCAGCGCACAATCTCACAGCGCTTTTCTGCAGCATCGTGTGCGCTCCATCTTGTGCACCAGAAAGCGTAAACTCTCTTTTCCTTCTGCTGTTTTTTTTTTGTTTTTTTTTTTGATGTTGACGATTTGGTTGTTTGGCACCAAAGTCGGCTTCATAAAACTTACTTTTTTCTTTTTTTTGTAGTGCGCGATTTGCCAGGGAAGCGACGTTTAGTTACGCTCCTCTCCGAAGCATGCTTTTAGGCACGTGTTTTAAGCGCTGACGGCAGCACACCATCCGTGAGTACTTTGGACAATAAAAGGAAGTTTAATTTTAACAGTTTTTCGGTCCTTTTTAATTAGATCCTTCGGACAATTCAACCAAATTTCAAGGTCCTGTCGAGGTAGAATTAACGAAAGTTTACTGTATACTGCTAGTCATAGACAAGGTTGAGAACAATGGGCGTCTCTTTCGGGTGCCTGGCCCCTAGCTTGCACTCGCTGCCCTTTTGCCTTGCTTTGGCTGCATGTGCATGCTAGAAGCAGACGTGCCACCAATATACAATAAAAGGCAGGAAGGTCGCAGCACTAGAGGCGGGACAACCAAAGGAACTCGTGATCTTAGCCCCGAGAGACGGAGAAATAAAATACCCGAAAAAACAAGACGTATTTTTCAGTGTCTCGGGCGTTTAGGCTATGTTTCCTAACCAGCTCGCCCGCACACTTTTGCTTCTCGCGAGACTTCTCCGCCGGCGGCTGGTGTTGTACAGGCACGGTGGGCACACTCTCACCCTGGCCTCCGGTGGGGTGGAGAGCCCCTCCTGGCGACGGGACTCCTGCGGTGGGGCGAGTGGCGACGCAACGCCGGACTGGGGCGGCGTCTCGGACTCCGAGATCTCCGCCGTGGACTGCGCGACCTGTTGAGATGATATGCCACATCCGCTCGTTGGACCCTCTATGACCTAATTTTTATGCATCGGCGATTCAGATACGCCGGGTGCACAAAGGTCAAACCGGGCCTCATCACGATTTGTGTGTAGGAGATAACATTAGTTAGCTGTATACAAAATGTCCCTATTACATCACTGTTAGGTGGGTCTCCCCAGCTCCTTTAGTAGAAACTACCTCCCACCAAGAACAAAGAAAGGTCGTGCCACAAGGTGTCGTATATGCCCTTTCTCCTAAAATGGCAATTCTGGGAAAGCAACTTGCTAATGGCCTTTACACACAAGAAGAGGTAGATACTCTCTGTGGTAGTGCTAATACTGCCGGTATGTTGGCATTAAACTTGGGTACAGATGTTGGACAAACTTGCAGAATGATACAATTTTCCAATGTTTTCTAGGTCTCTGCGAGCAGGAAATAATTTGTCATTTACTTGCAGTTGTCAGACATGCCCAAAGATTTCTCTCCTTTATGAGCTAAAACATGGTCATGTCACAAAAACTTCTAGCAAATGTTTGTATTTAAATTTTAAATTACGTATATTATTCTTTTTTTTTAGTAGAGTTAACATTAACAACTTGTACTATTTTAAACAAGTTCAAAACTTGCGTAATGACATTTCTAGTTTCGGTTTTAACTGCCGGTGGGTCGTCTCCAACGCAGTTGACACCAGTGGTAAACAACATTTTGGAGGCATCGCAACAGAAATCTCTTTGGCAGCTCTCAACAGAAAGATACTTGGAGCAAGGAACATTTAGCGCGTCATCGGAGCTTAACATACTTGGATTTGTAGTTCGATACTTTGCGGCACTTTCGGATTCCTTTCAAGTGGGTTCAACTTACCAAAGGAACGAGCATGGCAAAACCTCAACTGTCGAGATTAGAGCCACTAAAAAAAGCCGTGCTCACTCAGTGGGCTAAGAACACTCAATGCTACCATCCACTGTACGGCACATCGAAAACAGTACGAGCAGCCCCACGGGTCCTAATACAGGCATCCGATCCCTGCGGAGCCACCGTTGAACCATTCGCCCAACACCGCCGCATGGAACGCCGTCCGGCCAGACTCGAGAAACGGGGGCATACCTCCCGCGCCGTCGGTCCTTACGAGGGGGTGAGCCTCGCCGACGTGGGCTCTCGCCCCGGCCGCGCTTGTCGCTGTGCTTGTCGACGTCCTTGCGCACCTCGGCGGGAGGGGGAGACTGGGCCCTGGATTGCGGCAAGAAAAAAAAAAGCAGTGGAAACTCAAGAAAGAAAAAATGCACGGGGTCACGGGACAGGACACGCCGACCCTGCCCTCCCTCACTGCAGACTCTGCCGCTCGCTTTAGAGTTTCTACACTTGTGTCTTCAGCTCGTGAGGGCAGCTAAAGTCACTAACAGGACGAGGACGGCAGGGTGGAGTTGTCCCGCCTCCAGTGCAAGCTTTTCACCTTCGAGGACGCTTCGCCGTCTCACGAGTCGAGTGTGCACGGCGAAAGGCAACGAGCGCGAGCCAAAGGTCGGGAGTTGGAAAGGGGCACCCTGCCGTTCTCATTCTGTTTGAGACTAGAGACTGTGCTCTGCTTGAGTTTAACTCCTCAAGCAACGTCCCTTTAAAAAGACGCTGCGCTCCCAAAAGACAGTAGACTTCACCGCTACGATCGATGGAGAGAGAGAGAACCGGATGAAAGGTCCAAGGAGAGACTTTTTCCGAAATTGCGACGCGCAACAAATGGCTCCTGAAGCACTTCCGTCACTGCCATAGGATGAACGGCACTTTTGTGATAGAATACCTACTCACTAATACCGTCGACCCCCACCAAGTGTAAAGCCCAATTAAATGAGACCCCTTATGCAAATGCCATTGTGCCAAACTGAAACCTGCGTGAAAAAGGAGGTGTAGTTACGATCGCATTTAACTGGAGCAAATACTAAGACTACTCAGTTCTTTATGCACCTGAACACACTCTTACGGTGGTGTCAAGTTATGTCTTTTTTCCGTTGCGTCATACGGGTGCTACAGATCTGGCCCACATAGATATCCCCAGAGTGCTGCTAGGCTTCAGTTTCATCCGAATTAGAATTAAAGCCAATACTCCCGTTAAGGGGGGACACGGCCTCGAAATTCAATTTTTTTCCGAAAAAATGCATTTTTTAAAAATTGAATATTTGGGTTTACTAACTTCCCACGCACAGTTTCAGAAAGTTTTATTGATAAATATGCAGTATTTATTTAACTAAAAATTATTTTCGGCGCGCTGGCGGCCGCACGCGATGTCCCGCCGAGCGAGCAAACGGCGAAGATCGGCGTTTTCAAACTAGGACTACTCCGCGCCCGTTCAGCTTAGCTGGGACATTTTAGCCTCGTTGGAAGCACCGTTTCTTCTAGTTTTTGCCGCGAGAAGCTTCCCACGTTAGAGGGTATCGTCGTCCCAGGAGAGCCCCGCGCATCCAAGCACAAAAAAAGAGGCAAATGCGATACGAGCGATCCCATTGGTTGAAAACCGAAACCGCGCTTACGATTGGCTGTGCTTGGTGATGTCATGCTTTGTTTACGGCGATCGCGCGTTTTCGTCAGACTCTTTCGCTCCGGATCGTATCACTACATCGCAGCTCGTTAGATTCGTTTTCCTCATTGTTCTTGGTAGTTCTGCCGAGGAATGCCTGCCATCAAAGCTAGCATTCGTTGTAGCTTTGGCCGACGTTCTCGGTCTCGAAAAAAGAGAGGTTGGTCGGGAGGACGCCCCGCAAGAGGCGCCGTACCGTCGTCGCCGCCGCCGTCGTCGTCACCACCTTCATCGCCGGCGTCGCGATCCTCCAGTTCCCAGCTGACATCGGAGCCTGTTGCATCAACATCAAATGCTGAGGACCATCCAGCCTTCGCTGAATCGGATATCCTGACAGCGTTTGAGCGGAAGCTTGGTCTTCTTGAGTGCGATGTGGACGACGTAGAAACGGCGGACACTCCTGTTGAAGGACCTCCGGAAGGCTATCGCCTTCTCAATGTGTCGGCCGTGCAAGCGCTAATCGACGCTTTGGACTGCCCCAAGTGCCATGGAGGGGAACTCAGTTTGCGGGAATCGGGGACTGGTGCCGATCTGCAATTTGTTGTTGGATGCGCGTCTTGCGGAGACATCGTTGCCACACCGCACTCACCATCAATCGGCAAGTCTCGTCAAAGCGAACTAGCGATGCGTCTGGGCGTTGTAGGAAGAGACTGTGGAATTGGCTTTACGAAGCTCACGAATCTCTTCGGTGGCCTAAATGCTCCGCCTCCTATGCATTTGAAGTCTCATCAGAAGATCGCGGCTAAAGTGCACGACGCAGCGATGCTGGCGGCGAGCGAAGTAATGAAGGAAGCTGCAGAAGCTGTCAGAAAAGGACAACTGGCCGCGGAAACCAGTGCCGAGAACGATCTTCTAGACATCTGCATAACCTTTGATGGCACATGGCATAAACGCGGACACACATCACAGTTTGGAGTTGGCGTTGCCATTGAACTGGAGACTGGTTTTGTTATCGACTTTTCGGTGAAAAGCAAGTACTGCCATGGGTGCCAGTTGGGCCCCAAGGAAGGAAGTGACGGATTTGAGGAGTGGGCACAAGGTCATGCAGAAACCTGCCAGAAAAACTTCGAGGGATCTTCGAATGCGATGGAAGTGGCGGCGGCTGCAACCATCTTCAGCCGCTCCGTCGAACTGCATAACATGCAGTATGTCGCTGTCCTGTGTGATGGCGACAGCAAGGCTTTCACACACGTCGCTAGCCTTGAGCTTTACGACAAGCCTATCCAGAAAGAAGATTGCGTAAATCATGTAGCAAAGAGGATGTACGCGGGATTGGAAAAGCTGAAAAAGGCCAAAAAAGGACTCGGAGGAAAAGGAAAGCTTACCAATGTCGTCATGAAGAAGCTCACAAGTTACTACGCATGTGCCTTGAAGGACAACGCCCCTGACGTCAAGAAGATGCAGCGAGCTGTCATTGCCAGCCTTCTTCATACCTACTCCACAGACCAGGAGCCCCGACACCTAGCCTGTCCGGATGGCGAAGAATCGTGGTGCCACCATAACCGCCACGAGGCTCTCAAAGCAGCAGGGAAGCCTACGGCAGCAAAACCACACCGACCAGCCTTCTCTAAGGATGTTGCAAAGGAACTTGTTCCGCTGTATAACCGGCTTGCAGAGCAGGACTTGCTCACTCGATGCTCACGCATGAAGACCCAAAATGCAAATGAGAGTTTTAACGCGCTCATCTGGAAGCGTTGCCCTAAAACAGAATTCGCCTCACTGCGCACTGTAGAGACTGCAGTCGCTCTAGCAGTGCTAGAGTTTAACCTTGGTCCAAGAGGCTTCGAAAGGGCACTCCTGCAGATGGAGATCAGCCCTGGAAGCCACCAGGAGAAGCACTCCTACAAGGCGACTCGGGGCAAGATCGTGAAGGCAAAGGACCGGGCACTTCACTCATCGAAGCTTGCTCACAAGCGGCGCAAGCATGAGGCTATAGTCCGGGAGCAGCACAGCCTCGAAGCCGAGGGTACCACCTATGCTCCAGGTGCATTCTAAGCCCCTGGGACCTACCGAGAATAAAGAAGCTTCAAGCTGAAACTTCAAATGCATTTATCTCGGTTTCACTTTTTGGCGGGTAATGTTGTGCGAGGAAATGTATCATTTCACATCCTGAATACGGAAAGGCATCATTAAGGGTATTCCCAGACTGAAATTTTCCAGCGAACAAGTTAAGGTACCTATAGTCTGAAAAAAAACTCATTCTTTCATAGTAAAACCAAAAAACTTTAAACACAAAAAAAAGAAAAAAAATTTTTTTTTTTCATTTGTGTTTTTTTATTTTATAATTACATTTTTCGGAACTTATTTTTACCTTAAGTTGCAGTATGTGTATTGTACTAAACATTAAAGCACAGATTTCATGAATTGCTACTAAAATTTTTCTTTGATACATTACTTAGGGAGGGCCCTCTTTTCTGGAGCCTGAGAAATGTAATATGTTGCACAATTGGGCTACAATGCTGAAAGTTTGTTTGTTATCTTCTCTCACAGTGTTCCATTTACCCTGCAAATTTCAATCAATTTCGATAAAGGGTTCAAAAGTTGATACCCCCAGGCCATGTCCCCCCTTAAGCGCGACTTTTGACCGTATACCGACACTGGAACAATGCAAAACAAAGTCACTTCAAAATAAAAGTGACACACTACTTCAATTTCACAAAGTAGCTACAGTCGCCGACCGATTATTCGGACTTCGCAGGGACCGAAAAAACGTCCGAAAAATCAGCAGATTGAAAAACTTGCCTTTTTGCTACTTCCCAGCGGGCTTAAGGGGAGGCACGGCCTAGGAATCGGCATTTTTTTTAAAAAAGTCACATTTTTGGAAAATAGGCTGACCAGCTTTTACAACTCATAAAGAATGCTGTCCAAAAATTTTATTCCTCTAAGTAAAGTATTTACCCCGAAATAAATTATTTTCGAAGTGCTGGCGGTTACACGTGCGCGCAAACGACGCGGCCGATTACGAAAATGTGCCATTTTCAAAGCACGCTCCCTCCGCGTTTTTTAGGACTAGCATGGACAAGCCCCCCTCGTTGGAATGAGCGTCTCGCCCTCTTTCGTTCTGTTCGCAGCATTGTTCGCGATATCGTGCTCACAGACCGTAAAACCCCGTAGAAAACATAGCTGTGCACCCTCTTATTGGTCAAGTTGGCGAAACAAGAGCTCTGATTCGCTAGGACGAGCCATGTGACGTGGCTCGTCCTAGCGAATCGGGAAGCTCTGTTGGAAATGGGCATACAGCCAGGGAGCTACCAAGCGTCATACGGAGAGAGGGCCACCAAGATGAAGGTTGCGAAGGCCCAAGTGAAAGCGCTCGAGTCCTCCAAGATGTCCCACAAAAAAAGGAAGATGGAAGCTGTGGCCAAGGCACAGAGGGACCGTGCAGAGGAAGGAGTGACATATGCCCCTGGAGCATTTTAGGTGAAATGGCAAGCCCCATCTAATTTAAAACACTGTTCGAACTTTCAAACCCTTTTTTCTCAGCTTCATGTTTTCACCATTTTTTCACAGCTCTAAAACTATCGTTCGATGAGTTTTAAGCGCCCTCAAGTCTAATGTATGGCTTTTTTGGCATGAAATTTACTGGAGAACTCGGCTATGCGCTTACCTTTTGCAAATTGTTATATCTTCACACAAAAATGTTGACGTTTGTGAAACAAGAAAAAAATTAAAAATTCATACCATTATTGAAATTTAATTTTTACGTGAAATATGGCCTTAAAAATTATTTCAAGCCTACTACCGATTAGTTTAGTCATTCAGCGTTATATCCCAACAAAGAAATTGTGCCTTTTTATTCATATTTTGAAACGATAGTTTTTTTTTTCCTTTGGTACTGCTACATGTACATTTTTTTCAACGAATAAGGCTGTAACTTGGCAAAAAATAAACCTTTTGGGTTGAAAGTTGGTGTAGCCTCCTAAATTTTGACGTTTAAAATACCCTAAAAATTTCATTGACCTGGCTCAAATACTTAAAAAGTAGACCCTCCAAGGGAGTGCCTCCCCTTAAAAAAGCCGTAAATAGTGTCTTGCTTCAGGTTACGCCTCGTTTGCGTTCGGCAACTTTCTGTTAGCTGGAGAACCGCTGCCTTCTTTTCTAGCATACGGTCGAGTACTTTCTCCGCTTCTTAATGACACATCGTGGAGGCAGAAGAACAGGTGGGGCCACGAGGTCCAAGCCAGCGTTGCCCGAACTAGATGAGAGGCACAAACTCACGAGCGCAAAATGGCAACTGGCGACGCGAAAGTGGGGCGGAGGCACGAAGGGATGGAAAAACAAAGCAAAATGAAAATGATAATGATGACGACGTGCAGCTAAATGGAAAAAAAAAGGGGCTAGCATAGCGTCATCTAGCGGTAGGACTCAGGAGTGCTCAAGTAATGCTGCCAAACCAAGCCAATCCATTGGCAGCTAACATAGAATTCAAAATGGCCGCTTCTCGATGGGGTTTTCCGCTGATCGCTTGCGACGATTTTGTCCGAATAATCTAACTTTCAAACTTCAAGCTGTCCGAAACATTGGTCGTGAACATGCACTATTTTTATGGGGTGAGTCATGGTTCCGCCTTTAGGTCCGTAATATCGAACAAGTCCGAATTATCGGAGTCCGAAAAAACGGTCGGCGACTGTATACCTTCACTCGGCGTACGGGTAGACGCGCAGGCCTCATTCAAGAAGGCCACAACTTATACGAGCAAACGTGACACGCGTCCACCCGGATGACTAGCAGAACCACAATGCGATGCCGGCAGCCACTCACTTTTCTTTGGCTTTGGGCTCTGCAGCCACGTCCTTCTGGCCGGCCTCGCCGTCTCTTTCCTTCTCCGGCTGCGGCTGCGGCAAAGGTTTCGGCAGCGGCTCGTTCTCCTTGTCAGACGGCTTGTCCCTCGACTTGTGCTCGCTGTGGTTGCGCTCCTTGGGGCGCTCCGGGGATCGCTCCCGAATCAGGGGTGCCAACTCCCGCACCCGCTCTGCCATCTTCTCCCGCTCCTTCTCTTCCATGCGCCTTACGTTTTCCTGCATCCTCTCCTGCTCCTCCTGCCGAACAAGAAAACGACAGACCAGAGTTACGTGAGCGGCATAACCCACGAGAGACACATGGGGTAGACGAGAACACCTCTCCAGACAGAGATTATAGGGGAAATCTAACGAGAGAAGCAATCCAGCGCTGCCAAAAAGAAGAGTTCAAACCTTTCTGGCACCATTGCTCCTAAAGCAGTCGAGAAGCAGAATATATTGCCCGTTTCTTCACAGCGAGGCTGTACAGAGGAACCTCATAACCATTTTGTGGTCAACGTCGTAGTGCTTAAACCTCCGACAGTCTAGGTCCGTCACGCTTGCACACCCAGCTTTGATCCCGTTACTTCGCGTCTCCCCATTTCATCCGAAACACGTCCTTCTCGCCTGCCCGCGTCCTACACGCCGTCCCAGTGCATGCACAAGCACACTTGCTCCACACTTCTAGATATTGAGGCCCCAGTACTTTTCACGGCCCCTTTCGCTACGTCATCGCATGCTCGAGAGAAAGGTCACACCACACCCCGCCCCCAGCACGGTCGGTCTTGCTTCCGATGGAAGTGCGAGCCCCACCTGACGCTTCTTGATCTCCTCCTTCTTCTGCTCGAGGAACTCGGCGGGGATGCCCCCGACGCTCTCCTGGGCGCTCAGCAGCAGCACCCAGAGGTCCCCCATGAAGTCCCGGGCGTTCTTGCCGTTCAGGAAGCCCGTCAGGTTGATCTGCATCATCCGGCCGTCCGGGTGCTGAGCAGACAAGGCGTGCCCACAGGGCGTCAGGGCAGACCGAGCAACGAGGAGCTCGACCACAAACCACGCGTGTCAAATGCGACCTAAAGTCGGAAACCCCGGGGTGACGCGACGGCGTTGGCAGCGTTACAAAGGGCCCGACCCCGGTACTTGGAAGCCGCAGTCCGTCGCCCTTCGCCGTGCCGTCCCCATAAAAGCCACGAGTGCGAGCCGAGAAAAAATTGTCAGCCCGCACTCGCGGTTTTCGGGGGACCGAGAACGGGAGTGAAGTTATGTGCTGCCCTCGACTGGACATGGGAATTTAAATCTTCTCGAATTCGGAGGATGCTGATTGCGCCTGTGCTTCCCTACTTGAGTTTCAATAAAAGATGTTTTCTTTGACAGAACTGTCCCAACGCTCTCTCAGTACTTTAGGAACTCCCCTCGTAACTATGGTGACAACTCCACGGCCGGCTTTCTGGAAAGGAGCACAAGGAAACAATCCTGCTCGAGACGGTTTGAAAGGAGGAAACGCCGAGGCCGTCGCGGGAGCGGAACACCACGTGGAGGGTGCAGCCTCCGCACGCTCTAGTCGTCGCCTAGATGAGAACGGCAGGGAGGAGTTTGAACTGCCCCAGCACCGGCAAGCTTCCCACCTTCGTCACGCTTCGGAAACTCTTGCGAGCCTCGTGCATGCGCGCACAGCCAAGGCGTCGCGAAAGGCACTGAGCACACGTTAACGGTCGGGCGTTCAAGGGAGATGCCCTGCAGTTTTCTCCTTGTTGGCGACTACAGTCTCGGCGATGCCTCCTTTCCACACCTCCATGGGAAGGAGCCTCGATTGCCCGGTCCCCTTCAAAAAAGCAAGCCCGAATTCCCTGGTCTAACACCCCCATTGCAGCTCTTTGGAATCGTCCAATTCGACCGCTTCACCCACTCCCACACACAAACTCTCTTATGGCCTTGCCCGTGTAGTGTTCCGAAATTTTCTTATTTTCTTTTTAGACTGCCAACGCTTATTGTACAGAAAAGAGTCCCAGGCGGGGCAAACGCCTACAAAGCGTACTTGAAACCAAAGAGAACAGAGCTCCAACACCGGAAGACGGACAATCGTCGCCTCCCCCCAAACAATGTCGCAGAGAGAAAACAAAAAAAAAAAGAGTGGCAGCGGGTGCTGCCTCCCATGAGGAGGCGAGGGGGGCACCGCGGCCCGGGCAGAAGTGTACCAGGAAATAGCAACCTTTCGACAGCCCCAGCAGAGCAGCACCTGCGTCCGGAAACAAGGGGATGCCCCTTCGACCCATAGAGCCTAAAAAGACTGAACAAAGGCCAGGTTAAGGGCAAGGCTCTCGCCGGCCACCCCCAAGACGTGACACGTACATACGTGGGCGCTCGGGTCCTTAGTGGTCTTAGAGATTGGGGCGCAAGGTGTCCTTAGCTGAGAATGTCACGACTGCAAGATTCAACACATCCCGTTAGTGCAGGCCCACCAACAACTCTGGTCGAGCAGGGGTCGCTTCCCCAATTCATTTCCGGCGGCTTTGAAAACCAGATGGAGCCACAGTCTCAACATTCAGCCTGCTCGAGGCGTGGTCCAAAATGTCCCTCAGTTAGACGTCTCCGCAACACAAAAGACACTTCTCTTCCGGCGAAGAGCTAAAAATTATGTTCTAGGTTGCTGAGCTAGGAGATGCCGAGACGTAAACGTTCTTAAAAACTGTTGTCTCGGCAACATGCGCGCAAGTCGCTAAATAGCCAATGTGAATCTTGTACCAAAGCTTAGAACTTTGCTATTCAAAAACGGGAAGAAGCTAAGCAGAAAAGAATAAATTACCCTTTAACAGAAGCGTGCAAATGCAGAAGTAAAACAACTGTTGGCAGACACAAGCAAAAACAATACAAATATTGTTTGTTTATTTAAAGTTGGATGGCCTACCTTTTCGGCTTCAAGCTGATTAAAGACGAATTCCACGACGACTTCATCTTCCATGCCAAGAAAGTCGGTGATCTTTCTGGTGATCCATGGCTTGATTGTGTCCAGGTTCACCTTGTTCATGTCAACCTGCACAAAGAGGCAACGAAATGGATGCAAGCATAAGGTATAACGGTTTACTTTAAAGGGAGACTACAACGAAATTTAGGAACTTATTTCTTGGTCAATTCGTGTTCATGGGAGCAGTATAACATCAGACACACCAATCTCTTGTTGAAAACAACACAAAAAGGAATTTCAAAACGAATTAGATGATTAGCAAAGAGCACCTGGTTGATGCCGCTAATGCCTCCTTTGTAATGCCCGTCTAGGAACCTTGACAGGTAGTGACGATAGCCGTCTCGCCTCCGGCCACCACGAGAGAAGAGGGAAAGGAGGAACTCCCCTCTCCCCAAGACTCGTTTGTGTGTACTCGAAACTACAATTCTCGGTGAAGGCCGCTTGAGCTACGATTCTGGAAACAAAGACAACAATCCCACCGCCTGGAGCAGCCGTAGTGGTAATAGCAGGCAAGGCGCTCGTCACTCGCAGCCAAGAGGCCAGATTCAAGAAACGATCTTACGCCAAAAATGTGCGTAAGACAAAACGTAAGAACAAATTCGTATTCACAAAACAAAATTATCGTAAGTTTTGCGCAGGTTATGACAAAATCCTACGACAGCTCTGGAGCTGTCTTACGCACTTTTTACGGTCAAATCAGCTAGGCCGACAGCTTCGCTCAGTTACTTGGTCGCGACGACCAACGAATGTTTATTTTTTTATGTGTTCTTCTCGCGCGTCCCGACTTCAAAAGGCAAGGAAAACGTGAAAAGTACTTGAAACAGGCCACGACGAACAAGAAAGCTAGATCCACAAACACCCGAGAAAAGCTACAACGGCCACGAATCCACCGACCCCGACCAAGCGAGCTCGGCAGAATATAGGCCAAACCGGCACTCCAACTCGGCGCAGCGTTGTTCCGACGATCCTTGGCCAAGACCGTCTGGCGTGCTGCATGAAATATGCCCGCGCGTCCCATGTGGACCCTTCCCGTATTATATAGTTTGATCGCTGACCTCAATTTTAGATTAAGAGGTTCCATGTCCTTGTTTTCCGAGGCAGCGGTGACGAACGCTATCGTCGAAAAGGGACTCTCATCAATTTCATGTCCTTGTTTTGTGTGATATGGAGCTAAAATTAACGCCGTATAGATTACCTTCCCAACACGGTATGTACACTTCGTTATTAGTATGCCATTTTTATTCTGACACGACTGCACGTCACTGTCGAGCTATAACAGTTTGTGGGAGCTCCGCAATGCCGCTCCAACCTTTATTTGCAGAGTGTCACATTAGTACCGAGTTGCAACTGCAAAAGATTGTCCCGAAGCGCCCACCAATTCGCAGTCGAAGAGCGCAAATCCAGCAATTCGATCAAATGCGCGCATCCGCTCCGAGTGCGAACAGGTATTTACGTGGCTCTTGCTGACACTGTCGAAGTTCAAACATATCGTTTTTAACGTCAGCTCAATGCTGCATCTCCGAGGCCGCGAAAAACGCCGCAACAATTTGCTTCCATCTACGTCGCTTTGCAAACGACTGACACGGGCCGTCTTTTACCAACGATGACAGATGGGTTGACTTCATAGCGATTGAGTTCGTAGCAGTCAATGGAGCTCGGCTTGGTGCTTCGAACCAAGCCGAACTCTCAGATTCGTTGTTCGTGCTGCCGAAGATGCGGTCGCCATAGCAACAGCACCGGTAATTTCTAGTTTTTCCTACAAGAACGTCGCTTTGCTCCTTTCACTTAAGAACGCGATCGTGAATACCGATTTCTCCTCTTCTTATGATGTTCTTAACTTACGAACTTCTTAGGTAAGTTGTCGTGAACTAAGAAACTCTTCCTGAATCTGGCCTCAGCTGTTTTGTTAAATGTGACATGTTCGCACAACCCCTTTTTCTTTTTCTTTGTGGACTTTTTTGTATTAGTAGCTTGAACCTTGACCTAGATCTTCCGATTAGAAGGTCAGTCGAAACTCTTTGTCGTCCCTCGCAGTTTCCCAAGTGTCCTGCGGTGGTGGCAGGCACTCTCGTCGCAACGACTCACTTGGAGATTCTATCTGTTGCTTTCTTTGACGTACAGCTCTAATAAACACGGTATGGATTACCCTTGCATCATACGGTAAATACGCTTGTTTTTCGTGTGTTTCATATTCTAATGTTACGATGGTACAAACGTCAACACGGATTGAACTAGAACATGCCTCGGTAGCTACGTAGTTAGGCGATACCGGACCGACACTTCCTTTGCCGAACGTCACGTCAGTATAGAGCCCTAAATGTTACCGCAGGAAGTAAATCTATGGTGACGCCGCATGTGCGATATTTCAACACTCGATAAGCTCTCACAGGCAACAGCAGCCTCAAAGCTGCACGAGCAAACTGCGGAAAAACCGGCAGTCGGAACGCCAAGTTTGACACCTGCTAAACCGTTCCCGCGATTGATTCGTTTCCTCAGTCTGTTCCTGACAGGCTGTCAAAATAAAAAAAATAAAAAAACTAGCCCCCGGGAACCATGCTGTCCCAGAATCTACCCACTTGGTCACTTGACAAGCCTCCGAAGCCACAACGATGACCGACTTGGTCGCGGTCCGTACAATAACACGAAGCAGGGTTACTGGGTCCTGTTCTGTAGGCCACGACAGCACTGTCGTCGCGCTGCTTGAGTTTAATCTTGACGTGAAGTACAACGAATTGGGCCAAACACAACCCGAAACTTTCAATTAATATTAACGAACTAAACGTGAGTTGTGATGAATGATACACATGTGACCAATGAAGCGCACGAGCGCTCATGTGATCCTGGTTACTACGTCACGACGCACACGGAGGTATCAGGTGGCGCCACTCCATCTTCTCGGGACTAATAGGTAAGAAATTTTGCCAGCACAGTACCACTCGTAGCCTGCAGTCTTCAACAGGCATCCCAGCAGCCTGCTCCCCACTGTCGTGAGCTAACATATTCGGCCATCGAGCACCCCTGCGGCGTTCACTTCGATCAAGCGCCCGTTCTCGGAATCCGCATGGCCCAACTTTACTTACTCTTTTGTTGAGTACATCATGGAACTTTAGCTGCTTCAAAAGCTTCTTCTGCTTGTCGGTGAACCTGTTGTCTTGCTCGGCACTCGTACCCTGCCGACAAAAAGACGCCGTCACGTTCGTCAACACGCCTACCAAACCACTAAGTGGACGAGACATTAACAAACACTCGACGTGTAACTAAGTTGCAACCGACGAAATACGCTCATAAACGTGTGTAGCGACGAGACGAATGACGTACAACAGAAACGTTGAGCGCCGTACCCCTAGAGCAAAATTGTAATATCAGTGACGTCCGTTAAAAAAGTCCAATCGATCGCAGATGCCGGGAATGTTTCCGGCACTGTCAGCACAAAAACGTTCACATCTAAATACGTCAGTTGTCGCGCGAATAGAACGGCAAGAAAGTAACGCTGCGCTATATTTGGTTACTTAAGCGCTCGTGTTATATATGCACGACATTAGGACACGAAAAGCACATTAGACAAACGTAGTAAACACGTATCGCGCGCATCGCCGCATTGGTTAGGCTTAGGGCAAGCAGGACAAACACAATTTTAACATCTATACTGTTAGCACATTGCTTTGTGCACGCATTCAGAATATTGAATAATCTTCCAGTAGCCGGTGCCTCTGAGTAGAGTAATGTAATTTGAGTAATAAGGAAGAAAAACTTACGCGAAAAAACCCGGCATCAGTCATTGTTTTCAGTGAAGACGGGTGCAGCACATAGTTGTCAGGCGATGTCGCGATCACGATCCGTGTTTTATCCAGATTCCGCTAGATTGGAGCGAAGATATCCGCCAAAAATGTAGTTGGTATTATTTTGACTATGACTCTAAAGTTCATCTTGATGTTTATTTTGATTCTTTGTGAATATGTCAGAGACCCAACCTCGTTGCAGAAAACAAAACTGTGTAAAAAAAAAATAATAATATGAATAAAGCCATGAATAAAGCCAATGAGTCTAAACGCTTTGAATCGGGCGGCTGCTTGCCCCACCTAGCCAGAGTTCCTTTGGGAGCGACCGCCCTGATGCAAAATAATTTTGATGCTACTTAATACTGAATACTCTAGAGCAGGGGTCCTAACCAATACCACCTAGAAGACAAGGCCTGCGCATGACGTTTCGTTAGTAGATCCCCGACCCGCCCCAAGCGGCAAACACGCCGAAGCTTGACGAGAGTAGGGGCCGCGTCGCAACTACGTCGCAGTCACTTGCGGCCGCAGCTGTGTGCGTGACTGCTGAGCGCGAGCTGATAGCGAGCTTCCAGTGCATGTGCGACGTGCACGCGAACGCTCCCTCGGCCAGGAGCGCGAGCTAGCACGCGCTCCTGGCTTTGAGACGCGCATTTCTAGCGCGCGCGCTCGTTCTGCGGCAGAACGCTTCGAAGCAGCTCCCTCGAAAATGGCGTACAGTGTCAGCGTCCAGCGTCCAACGAAGGGCTTTTCAGCCCTTCTCGCAGCAGTAAGGCAATTTCGCTCATGCATTTGACGCTCCACGTGAACGTCTAACTTCATCGTATGCTCTTTGCAAAAGACACTCGGCGTGAGCATCTGTTTCATTATCTGTTACACAAACCACTGAAGGAGGCGATGGAGCAGACGATGTAGCAGACGATGTTGCTCATCCGGGCTAGCTAGGGGGCGCTGAGGGGATCTACTAGTGATGACGTTTAGAGGAGGAAACGCGCAGGCCTTGTGTTCTAGGTGGTATTGTCCTAACCCAGAGCCGTATATATGGGCAGAGCCAGAGAGTACGCCAGACCACTGATCTCTATTATAGGGGGCTGGATGGCGCTTAGCCGGCTTAGCCGCTCTTCGAGCCGGGCGCGCATGAAGCCACCGGGATCGGTGGCCGAGTTGGCCGAGTGGTCTAGCGCGGGTCCATATCACAAGAGCGAATGACATTTTAGCGAACGGCGACATTTGAGCGAATGGTCGTTTTAGCGAATAACGGGGGCGCGCGTTAACCCATCCGTCGCGCTGCGCTTTACGCCGCTTCGCGGCGACAGTCTGCGGCAACTCATTACAAAAATATGAACTCACTTGGCCCACCCGAAAACGCCGCTTCGCGGCGTCCGACTATTCGCTGAAGTGTCATTCGATGAAACGTGGGCGTTCGCTAAAACGTCATTCGATCAAGTGAGTGCCTCCCGTCAGCACACCAGCTCGGAGCACGTGGAGCGAAAGCTCGCGCTGCAGAACCCAGGGATCCTGGGTTCGAGCCCCACCCCTGCCCGTTTCGATCTGGATGAGCATCGTACCGGCGTGCGGTCGTGTATCACTACTGCGTGATACACGTTAAAGACCCCAGGCTAGCGGCTGTACCGCACTGGTTAAATTTCTCATCTACAGCTGGGAGACTCGTCGCCCTTGTGAGGCAGACCAAGTTCTAGGCTGTATAAACACACACACAACCCCCACCGGAAGTTCTGGTGCTTGTCCCGGAAGTCGAGCGTCTGCTACACTTCTCTGAGCTTCTGAACATATGAAGTCGCTGTTTTTGCCCGCGATTTCTTGAGGTCTAATTGTGATTTTTAGCATCGTACTGTTAGAATAGTACACTTGAATGTAAAATATCTAAATCGAATGAAGGAAAGTTTGAATAATTGCAAAGAAACAATTGTCAAAGCTGAACGCTGGGCTAGTTGGTATTGGGATGTCAAAATCATGGTAGCGCTTTTAGACGAAGACGAATAAGAGACAAGACACACACGAGCGCTCGTGTGTGTCTTGTCTCTTCTTCGTCCTGGTCTAAAAGCGCTACCATGATTTTAAACAATTGTCACCGCTGTTTTTTTGGCTGTCGACAGAGGGTACGGTATACGGTAGCGTAATGGGGCAGTGTTGCGCAGCCTTTTTTGGCCTCCGGAGAGTAGAGAAGAATTGACCGCTCCTCAGCTAGTAACATCAGACTATACGGGTTCCGCCCTTCTATATCGGGTTTACGGCTAACCCGAAACGTCAGTAACTGTAATGTCAGTAACTGAATGTGCGCGCGCGAAGTATAGTCACCATGAAGTGATGTTCTTAGATGTGCTACCCTGCTGGAAATGGGCGATGTGAAATGAGGCCAAAATTCACATTGAACCACTGTGCAACTGTAGGTCCAGACACATTGAGCAATATGCATTTATGAAACAAAAACCTATGTGCACCAATTGGTAATCCTTTAGGGAATTCACATTGGGCTGAATTGGTAATCCTTTAGGGAATTCACATTGGGCTGATTGCATTTATGAAACGAAAACCAATGAGCAGCAATTGGCAACAGGTACCCCAGTGCACATTGCATTGAGGGTATTTATGGGGCAAAAACCAATGAGCAGCAATTGGCAACAGGTGCTCCTGTGCACATTGGGTTGATGGTATTTATGGGGCAAAAACGAATGAGCGGCTATTGGCAACAGGCCCCCCTGTGCACATTGGATTGGTGGTATTTATGGGGCAAAAACCAATAAGCGGCAATTGACGACAGGCACCCCTGTGCACATTGGGTTGATGGCGTTTAGGGGGCGAAAACCAATGAGCGGCAATTGACAACAGGTGCCCCGGTGCACATTGGTTTGATGGTACCCAGTCAACCAGCAACCGTCTATTAAACATCCGAGAGATGTGTTGTTCGGACATTTAACATATCCAGTGGATATCTGCTACGATTCATCCAACATTGAAAGTATCTACTGTGCAGTGCAAAACGGTTCCCCAGAAAACGTACCACTAACACAATCTGGTTGATGCAGCTGGACATTCAGGACCATTGTAGGATGTTCAGCCTGATCCTGTGGATGTACCAAGTACATACCTCAGAAATATTACCTTTCCTCGTATAGGGACCAGCCCTATGCCAGGAGGGCAAGGAAGTGCCTAAGCAGCCTTCATTTTATGCTAGCATATAGCGTGTAAACTGTCCTACAGAAAAATTTAAACGGATAAGAGTCCAATTCTTTACAAAACAAGAGCTCAGAGGGCAGATTTGCTGTATGGCCCGTGCATGCTCTCAATGTATACCCAAATGGCGCATTACAGATGTATAATGTAGCAATCAGGCCCGCAGCAGACATTCCTTATATTGAAGTTTTTTTTTCACCATCAAGCTCAGAAGCTTTACCACAGGATCAATGCAGACGACACTGACAAGGAAGGCGACACTACTGATGCTGACTCGTTTTAGTGAGGTGGACCTCGCCACATGCGAGAGAACTGAAATACTGGACACAAACATTGTCATAAGCTATGACGAACGGCCCTGAGGAATTGACTACTGAAGTCTAAGGCTTCAGTAGTCATGTGCTCTAGTGACGAGGACACCAGAATTCCATGAGAGCTGTAGCACCGACTGCATGGCAAAAGATGCCGCTGCAGTCTTGCAGCGTAACTTTGAACGTGAGTAGCGCACTAAATTCCTGCCCAGCCTGTCAGGCATGCACATCCGTTCTGTAGAAAAAGTTGCAGTGCCAAACAAATCGCCATTAACTCTTTATTGCTACTGTTAGACAGACGAGCAGTGCTTGATGCTTTTAAAATAAAGTATAATTTTTGAACAATGCTGCATAGACAGCATTAGGTTTTCAAAATAAAGTATACTTACTGAACCATGCAGGATACTTTGCTTAAAAAAAATGTCGGATAAACATAATAAAAAGCTCAGCACATTCAAGGCCCACTTAAGGCAGTTCACATCTCTCTCTCCTGTGGTGCAGAATGTTCCTGAAAAGCAACGAAAAAATGTTACGTTAAAGATATGTGAGCAGTGGTTTACCATTCTTTGAAACAAAACTAATAAAACAGTGAAGTTCAAAGTGAAGTGACTCAAATATGCAAGAATTGGAACTGATGTAAATAAATCACAAGTATTTTATGCGTTGTTTTTAAAGCACATTCATGCTGGATGTGTGTACTGTATTGCCAACTTTTGTTTGTTAGATTTACATCAAATATCAGTGTTCTTAAAATTCGTTGTCTATGCATTCTTTTTAATCCATAATAAGGTACTATTACATAATGAAATTTTTCCTCTTAGAGAAACACTCCAAAGAAAATTTTTTTTTATTTAAAATTATTCAATACTGTTCACACCTGTAGTATTTGCTCTCAAATTAAACCAAAAAAGGTGTCACTGGCTTTAATATTTAAAGCATTCAAATACTCTCATATAGAAATTATGCTTTGAAGAAATTGCACACCATACTTACTGTTCTAGAAAAGTTTGATTTTTGTGCTAACATCAGCTTAATAAGACAAGTTTACCATTTGAGATGACTGATGTCAGGCAGGTGCGTGGCGAAGTTAATCCGTGACCATGGTTTCTACCTTGAAGTCTTCACATTTATGGCAGCTCTGCACTGCATCTGATAAAAGAAAGCAACAGAAGTACGACACCAACAATTCCATAAATCTGGTTCCATGTGAAGCGATCTGCACTACTGTTCCAGAGATTACTTACTTATGATGCACTCAGCAAGGTGAAGGTTCCTGAATGTCAACTTTCTCTCACGTCCTTCCCACAAAAATTTTCGCCCCAACTGGTCAGTCAGCAACCGCTTCGTGATCTGTCTCGTACAGGAAGCATAACCAGATCCGCAGACTTTGCTGAGCTGTCGAACATAAAAAAACATCCACATAGCAACCGCTTAGTGCAATCATAACTATTGATTGGATGTTTCTGTTTATTTTTAGTCAACCTTGGCAGGTGTTTATCGGCATCCATTTCTTCATTAAATGTGCTGC